GAGGTTTTTAAAATATCCGTAAGACTTGAAAAAATCCGTGAGATTGCTCTATACGTCCGTATACCTGCAAAATGATGTAAAATCTTTATAATTTACAGACAATCTGTACAAGTTGCTGCCTTTCTTTCCCCTCCTCCCCTCCCGCTGTGCAGGACGGCTGGTCTGTTTGTGTGTGTGTGTGTGTGTGTGTGTGTGTGTGTGTGTGTGTGTGTGTGCTGAAGGTCAACAGACGATCATGCTAAGCTTGCTAACTGTTCCACCCTCTGACTGCTGCAGGGGCGTGTCTTAGAGAGAGGCTTTTATACCAGAACACAGCCGCTGTGACGAAACTGTGGAGAAGACACGTCACTCTGGAGAGCCGTTAACCAATATGCAAATTAGCCTGCAGTACCACTGCTCTACCCATATGAGCAGCAAAAAGACGTTTTTAGACCAAATATTACAGATTTGAACAAATACGCACAAACACATCAAATTTAGCACAGAAACAGTACTATATAACATTTTAGACACATTCTAGAAAGTTTATCAGCTAAAAAAAGTTAATTTTGGGGTAAGTTACTCTTTAAAGCATTGACTCTTGCTCTTACTTGTTATGAATGAGTTCTCCCATCGACAGCAAGGAGTTCAATCGATGCTCGAGAGCAACAATCTTGAAGGCCATGTAACAGGAAGACAAGACGAGGATGCCGACTCTGTTGATGGTCCACAAATACAACATAAAATCCATCAGAATGACCACAAGAGGTTTCCACACATCCTGATTGTGTCTTCACTCTGTTGTTCCTTCTTAATTTTCCCCTAACAGCAGGTTACTTACAAAAACAGATAAACGAAGAGGATGATGTGCAGAGACTTTGGCTGGGAGGAAGGGTTTTTCACAGTGGGTCCTTGTGTTGGTTTCACTGAGCCTACAAAAAAAAGTTGTGTTTAATCAAAAGCTAAAATAGTTTGAAATGTATTTTAAAACAGAACTGTTTATAAAATAAACCACATAAACTTTGACCAAAGATTGTAAGCTTTAAAATCTATCATTAACATACAATAACGTCCAGACAGCTGTTTGTTGAAATGTGAAACATTGGCTTTTAATTTGACTTTTCGCTAAAAGGCAGATGAGATCAATAACTAAAGACCTGGAATTCCTAGAATGCACATCAGCTGTTGCCTTTCAGTTTCAAACTAAGATAAACTTTTACTGAAAGCTGAGAAAGTTGGATCTGTTTTAGGTCAAACGTGAGAGAAAGATACAGACAGCTCTTCCACCCACTTCTCAGCTGTACAGATCTTTGGAAACTCGTTTCACCACATACCTTCTTTGCCTTGAAGCTACGCTTTCTAGGACAATCTGATAAATCGAAATCAGCTAGTAATGGGTCAGTTATTTTCTTTAGCATCTCATTCATTGCTGACTGTTGGCTCCCTCTCCATCAGCGTACTGCCCATGCACAAAAATCAACTTAAAATGGCCTCTATAATCTACAAGTGAAAAACATGGTAACATAAATATGAAGCTAAAGCAAGATGCTAGTGGTGCACAATATAAAAACTGTTAACACTGACTATTTTGAGAGGAAATCTTTCACATAATTTTTTTAAATATTAAATTTCAAGCCACAAGACTGTGAACCTCAGCGACTCAGGTAAGTTGAGAGTCTCCATTTAAGGTTAGAGATCATTTAGAGACTTCCTTATGAGTGTTTTTTTTAGTAAACTAGTCCTTTTCAGTCCAGTGAGATACTGACTATGTTTTCTCAAAGTTTTTTCCATAAGATGTCTCAGTCTGGCACTGGCACATCGTCTCCCCACCTCTGTCCATTCAGCAGACACACAAAGGCAGAAATGGGCGACTCAAAAAGCTAAACTCTGTACCTCAGAGCAAGATGTTGTCGCAACTCAGTAATGACCAGGCCTGTCACAATGACTAAATTTGCTGAATGATAAATTGTCTCAGAAATGTGGAAACTAATATGGTAGTGTAAGGAAAAAAACAACTCTCAGCAAACCTAAGGAGGTTCTATAGAACTGGAGTGACAAAAACCAGGTGACCATGTGATCGGCTGGTGAAGCTAACGGCTAACGAGAGTCTGGATTTCCCATTCCTGTACATGTTGACAACAGAGCAGAAAAAAAGACTGACGATGTAGAAATCATTAAAACTAATAATATTAATCCAATTATTATTAATATTTTACAGTTTATATAAACTATCTAATGTTTTAAATAATGTCAGAAAAGCTGTTTGTGTTATGGATTTATTAACAGAAGATAAACAGGAAAACGTCTCATTTTACAACACAAGTCAGCAGATTTGATCTTATTTAGCTCATCTGAGCAGAACATAATGTAACAGTTTAAAATTAAAATAATCTTATAAAGTCGCTGTAATCACTGTTATTTACTGAACAGTTGTAGGGGTCACCTCGAGTCAAATTATCAAGGAACTATCTTGGACTCTCAGTCCTCTGATGGGCCTCGACTGGAACCCAGGTTTTAAACAAAACTTCCGTCTGGAGAGTTTCTGAAGGTGGATAAACCAGGTGTTGGTTTTCCAC